TATTTATATATACTTTGTTGTTATGCATCTGTGGGAATATTTTACGAATTTTAAGACCGTATCTAACGTTGACGCGATTCCAGATGTAAATATATGCAGTTTTAACGGGTTGCGTCGGTGCTTGTGGTTTACCGTGCAACACATTTCAAACCGTTCTGCCACAGCCATACCTAACCATTTACTCTTCTATTTTTTTAATACTACTCATATCCTATACTTTATTTGTTTTATTAGCGCCACCTTATAGTTTTATTTATATCGTAAGATCGCTACTAAACTCCCTTTGGGTCAGTACCTCACGCCCGACTTTTTTATCGAAAACAATTCGCGACCAAAATAGATTGTACTTAAAACAGTTTGTTTTTTCTCAATGGAACTTGTACAAGATATTGCAGCAAAACTAAACATCAATAATCTCTGTTTGAGATTCCTAATTTTCGGTCAAATCGGCCACTTTTTTTGGCACTCAGCTGCTTCAGTTGCAGTTTGTACAACCATTAACTATGCACCTTCGTGCACCTGTATTGCTTATTGTCTTTTGATCACCCATTTGAATGAGGCAGTAGAAGAAAGACAGTTGAAAGTTGAGACTATGTACAGTTGAAGAAAAAATGAAGAACTTCAGTAGACCAAGGTTGCACGAACACCACTGTTTACGACACAGCCATGTCCGTAACCGTTGATTACAATGATCCCGAGGTCCCCGTCCAGATTGCTTAACGCGACCTATATATGATCAAGTCTCTCGGTCTTATTTTGACAACCTTTTGCTTTGTTCCATCGACCATGTGTCTCGGCAGTCATCGCGCACCGTGACAACCTGTTTGTGATAACATTGTGCTCACACATCCGTAGTGCGACAATCGCAACCAGGAATTATCCTAATAGAAAGAAAGGAGCTTCAACTCATCGCAAAATTATGTTTCACCTAACTATCTTTTTAGCTAAATTCAAGCTGCATTCAGGCGACATATGCCTATAAACAGTATGGTCCTTATCCCGGAGATCAAGACGTAAAAGGGTGGCATAGCTTCTGCTGAGGAAACCTTACTCACTGCCTCCTTCATCAAAATGAGAGGACGAAAAGCCAACATCCGATCGGCGAACCACTGACACTTTCCCCTGGGGGAGTTGGCTAAAATCCACAAACCAACCAAAAAGGGATGTATGAACTACACCTACACCCACACATTCCTCGTTGTGGCATTGGTTACCGGCGCGATTGGTCAATGGGTTGAGTGTTAAGTTACCCCTGGACGTTTGATCCTATTCAAAGGGCGTATGATGCGATGAATTGGACGCCAGCCTCCCTCCCTCCCCCCAATGGATTGGGGTCTTTCCACAACGCCCCGTTGCCTTGCGGATCAGGTCTTAGCTAGTTGAATGCTCAGGTTGTCTTGGGCAATTTGAAAGTATTCAGCCCAAATGCAAACCATGGACTTTCTTCTTTGCTTTGAAAATTTTTGTCTTGTGATTTGTTTGGCACGCAGTCTGGATTCAGACACGTTTGAGATATAATAACGTAAATAACATCGGAGATGAAATGTAAGGCAGCAAATTATACAAATGGTATGACCAGGAAATCTCCATGCCAGGCTGCGTGAATTTCGCCAATGTCTGTAAATGTATCAAAGGACTGTGTAAACAAAGCGATGATCATTTAGTGCACGTTACGTTCTCAGTTATAGTCGGACTCTACTGAAAAGAGAAAAATCTTTACGCTCCGTGATTTAGCGAGCGGTAACTATTCCAAATTGTATACAATGGTGATACAATGGAGATGCGGTTTCATGGTTGCTCCATATTCGTACGTCTTTGGACCAGTATGATTTCTCAGGATCACGGAACGTCACGTGATCGCGCTTTCAGTTTCGCCTCCTTCGGCTAAGGATTGGTCTTTTGTACTCTCCAATCCCCGTCTATCCCTGCATCCCTTATTGACTGTTGCAAACGCCCAGATCTGAAAAAATCGTAGTGCATTTTCTGGATATCGACTGGAGAAAGAAGCGCTGAATAATGTTGTTATTCATATTGTATTGTACACACATGTATATGATTATATCAAACACATGGGTTTCGTCACATGCAATTCTGTGTTCTAAAAATGAAAAGAAATCAACCAGCAGTGTTCAGTTTTCAGATTACCGTACTATCAGTATCAGTTTTAAACTTTCATGGCGAGTTGTTTTCGAATGATCTGAAGACGCGTTTGGTCTGCTTCCTTCCTTAACTAAGAGAATTTGTGACCTTGTCTGGTTTTCAAGGTTGTCTGCTGTCTCGGACCAAATTTGATTTCGCTAAAACTGCTGCTGTTGCTGCAGCTGCGGCTGCCGCGTGTGCTCTATTCACAACACATCGTTGTTGTCGATCTTGAAAACAACAACAACTCCTCTCTCTTGATAATTTTTGTTTTCCTAGAACGGAAATATACCTTCACCGGGGTCGGTTTTCACCATTATGCCAATCTCGAAGCGCATTAGGTAACAAGGCTGTCATGCGGGCTGGTATTCAAGGTTCGGACACAGCAGGTTTGGACTGTAGAAACTTATGTGATGAGGTGTGCCGGAATCGAATCGGGAATGCAAATCATCAATTTGTCTCGGCAATAGATTCAACAGTGGGAAAGAAAGAAAAAACTCGACAAACGAAGGTGTGCGTAATTTCCTCGTCTACGGTCTGTGTCCGGAAAGGCGACCACACAAACTGCAGTGCCGATAGAATCGCACGCACGCACGCGCGATCTGTTCGACGAACTGGTCATTTATTTCACTTGAAAAATCACCATCTGGGCACATGTGCAGGTTGGAGACAGTGGCGATCACATTGACCATAGCAGCAACACTGTGCTTGTTTAAATGATGAATTCGTCGAGTAAATGGGGCGTGCGCTGAAAGGCTGGGATGCAATGGACAGCTGTCTCGACCTGGTTGGGTCTCCATCAGCACAGTGCGAGTTCATCAACCCAACTGGGGATCAAACCCGGGACCTCACAAGTAGAAGGCAAGCATGCCCACCCTTCCACCGGACAGATGATCAGACTGCTTTTTATTTTTGATTTACACGATGTATAGTCAGGTTGTGAAAGTTTTCAACCAAGTCGTCACCCTGGAGGCTGTTGCTGAAGTAAACGACGCGCGATGCTCGCAACAAGCTCGCAAAGATGAATAGTGCTATATCGGGTGTATTCAAAATGAGAAACGGTCTAATCAGCTACCCGGTGACCGAGTGAGTAGTATGCTTGCGTCCTATCTATGAAGTCCCGGGTTTTATCCCCAGTTGGGTTGACGGATTCGCCCTATTGATGGGACCCAGCCAGGTCGAACCAGCTGTCTAGTGCTTCCTAGCTTTTAAGCACATGATTCGTTTACACGATGAATGCATCATCTAATGGATTAAAATCCGCCATTCCTCTTACATAGCTGTATTTTTCTGTCTTTGGTGTTTTTAGAAGCGCATTATGTACGCATCGATTCAGTTCTTCAGGGTCATGTTTTTAGCTAGAGCTCGCATGCAATTTTGAAAAGTTTAAATCAGACAAACATGGTCACCGGAGGACTTGGTTATGAAGGTTGCATGAAGCTTGCTGGCCGGAGACCTCGAGGCTATAGCCTGATCAATAGTTAGAGGCGTGCTGACGACTAGCCTGGGGTGTTGTCAACACTGGCCCTTGTGCATTTGGTCATTGTGCACCCACAAACGTTTGGATTAGGTACATCCCGTGCCCCAATATCCTGCATCTGATATCATCAGCGTTTTCCCCCGTTTTCTCTTGCTTATTCCATTATTGGCCGACCAAATGGGTATCCGAAAACCGATGTATGTGTGCTCCCAAATGACTCGATCATGCTACTACTCCCGTCCTCTGTTTATTTGCTTGCACTTTCCAGCAACCGATGACTTTGCTCTCTGACAACAAGGTCATGGTGAAACCAGAACCGCCCTCACTGATGCATGGATTCGATTCGAAGCCGACAGATGATGAGCGATGTCGAATCAATCGATCCCCCATTTTGTCCACCTTGATGATGTCTCCCACTACTGCGGCGGCGGCTGCAGCGGCGACTGCAGTCGCCAATGCTGCTGCATTGAAGCCTATCGTACGAACATCAGAGTCGACGAGAACCACGGCTCGGCCGGCTATCTCGACGCATCGGGCACTACGATTGAGACGGAGACGTTTGAGACGGACGTGGTTGGGTAAGTGAATGTCACTCCTAATAATGGATTGCCCCACATCAGATGGAGAAACTTTTTACAGAGAATTAGAATAATATTCAACGTGTCAAACCCGAATAACGTTCGGAGTGTATCGAAAAAACGATGCGCCATGTGATTTGTTGTATACAAATTGTAATTTTGGGAAAACACAGCGATGTCGGTGCAGGTGAAATAAGCCGACGTTTCGGTTACCGCGGGTAACCTTTATCAAGGCGATTTTTACAATCGATTGTAAAAATCGCCTTGATAAAGGTTACCCGCGGTAACCGAAACGTCGGCTTATTTCACCTGCACCGACATCGCT